TATGACAAAAAAACAGATATAATTTGGATTCATTCACACCTGATAGCTATTGTTGTGTTGACTGTTGTCTGGTATCTGACAATCTAAGGGAAAAGAGGTCAGTGCCTGTGACTATACAGTCAGGTACTGCATGTTTTAAAAATTCTTGTGGCACACCAGTGTGCCTCTTGCACACAGGTTGAAAATCAACAGACTATAAGAACATGCAGTCTTTACAAAATGAAGTGGTTCCATACAGGTTGGCTTTAAGAGATCTCCAAGATATATTATATGGGGGCAAAAAAAGCAAAGTGCATAATATGTATAATTATGTTACTCTTTGTAAGGAGAGGGCAAAAAAAACTTGCCAATTCTATTTCTAAGACATTATTCTACAAATACATTAGCAGCATGTAGATAGCATATACAAAGTTTTTTAATGAGACTAGATTGATTACACATAAGCCTTAAATAAATATGCTGAATTGTATTATTTTTGTTTTTTTATACCAAATGTATAGTTTATATAGCAAACTATTATAAAACAATAGTTTTATAATTCTAAGACAGTTCATAATGCTTGAGAAACAGAATATTTTCCTATAGGTATGGCAAGGGTCTTTCTCAATAGTCCTATGTAATTCTCAAATCCTTGTAAGTTCATTCCTACAGCTGTAGGGATTTAGTGGCCGTATCAGTATCACTATCTCCCCTCTTCCTTGCTTTCATCAGACAAATTCTTTCTTCCTGTTCCTTTAGAAATATTCTTTTATTTTTATTATTTTAAAGATTTTATTCATTTATATTTAGAGAAGAGAAGGGAGGGAGAAAAACATCAATGTGTGGTTGCCTCTCAAGTGCCCCCTACTGAGGACCTGGCCCACAATCTAGGCATGTGCCCTGACTGGGAATCAAACCCAAGACCCTTTGGTTAACAGGCCAGAATTCAATCCACTGGGCCACATCAGCGAGGGGTAGAAATACATTCTTTTAAAGTGAAAAACGGTGCATTTTAAAACAGGATATTAAGGAAAACCAAACATTTTTGGAAATGGATTATAGATCCCTATGCTAATAACCTCTTAGTGTAAGATCACATTCATTCCTTGATGAGGTACCAGTCTAGCAAGAAAGCTGAATCTATAAAAAAGAAGAATAGAAAAACTGGGAGGGGAGGGGGAGTAAAGGAGTCTCTGACATGATTTCATGTTTTACCTAAGGCTAGTTCTAAGTAAAATAGAATTTTACCCAAGCTCACCCTTAAGCTACCAGGGTCAATTTCCCACTGAGTTGAAGAGGTTGTGAGATGTTTGTGCCATTCTGTAAAAGCAGAAAGGGAAATGATAGGAGAGAAGAGAGGAAGTGAAAGAAAAGATGGGGGAGGGGTAGGAGATGGACAGAGTTTTAAAGAGCAAGTACTTTCAAAAAGAAAGGGTCAATATCAAGATTAATGTAATGGGGAATATAGCAACTGCTGTTCTAGACCTCACACAACTTGTTCTCCTATATTTGGAGGCAGGATTCAAAAGATAACCTTTCTCTCTCTCTTAGTTAATAGACTAGGTATATAAGAAGGATACAAGAACATATGATCTTTTTTTACTTAATTTCATGCCCAAGAGAGACAGAGGGTTGACCTGGGGTGCTCTTGATGAGCCATGAGATTGCATCACAATTTATCCCAGTCCAGATACTAGCAGGAAGCAGATCACTGATTTCATCTAGCCTCTCATTACACACAAATTAAGTTCTAACTTCTGGGGAAAGCAAGCAGGTGACAATTATCTTGAAAACAGCCAAGAAGTCTGATTTTAGAGGTAGTGTTTTTTTGACCCTTAGGTTTTCTGATACCTTAAAGGTCCTTTTAGTTACCATTATTAAACAATAGTATTCTAGGTTTCTAAAAGGTTAAAAGTTTCAATTTTCTGAAAATCTTACTTTTGAAACACTGCTTTTGCTAGTCACAGGACAAATTAGTTAGTATCCTATTTCATAACAGGTGTTTATAAAAAAAAGGCACTGAAGGTTTTCAATGGGGTTATCATAAACCAAACTAAGTGGATTTCATAACTTCCTCAAGTTTACTTCAATAATGACTTCATCTATATCTGTAAGCAACTGACTTACACACTATGATCAAATTTTGACCAATCTAGATTCTAGGAAGCAGAACTGACAACACAAAGTAGCCTTTTTGAAAAGCAGATGTAGATGTTAATCACAGCATAAACGTCATTGGCTCTTGGTGAAGGTGTGGCTGGAAAACACTAACATGGGAACTAACAGTCCTCTTTCAACAATCCTCCTAATCAGCATTTTTGAAAGAAATAGCAACAGCTTCCACTATCAGAACATTGCTGCAAATCTCTGACATAGTATCATTATTGTATAATACTAACACACTAACTTTCACACTGTGAAAATTCTTAGCCAATGTTGACGGTGCCACAGAAAGACTACAATTCACTGTATGTATCACTGTATGAAAGTACTGTTCTAATGAGATTTTAGACATTTGTTAAACATATTTATGAATCTATATAAATATCTGTAAGTGAAAGAATGAACAATTTACCACAAATGCAATATGAAAGCATTTGTTGGTTTATGGCATCTACCTACTTGCAAAGCTACTTAAAAAGTAAAAACACTCATATCATTTGAATCATATTTTTCTCACTGCAGCTGGTACATTTTAAAGCTGTGCAGATGTTTTAATACTGATAACTACAACACTGATATTAATTAGAATATGTGTTTTTTGAAGCATTTCAAGAAGGAATGATATACTGTGTAAAAGTGAAAGTTCCGTCCCACTCCTCCTCAAGAAGAATCATTGACTATAAATGGGTGCTAGCCTTCTGATATTCAAAAATTTTATATAGAAATAAAGAAATCCAGAGTGTTATAAAGAAATATTCCTACTGTAAGAAAATATACCAGTATTGCCTTTAAAATTGTCATTAACTCAACTAAGGAATTTAGAAAGTTCAGGTGCCTCATTTTTTAGTATGTGGTCTTTTATGAAACTATATTCTAGAAAAATAAACACTCACGACCTCAAAGTACAATACTAGATTTGTAAGGCTGACTTTGGTCCTAAATGTGCCCTATATTTTAGTGAGGAGTTTCATTCCAGTAAAGTGTTAATATAAAAGCATTATGGAAGTTTACCATTTGAAAGAGTTCTTTTGTAAAGTAAATTGTCCCTATAAAGCATGGCTTCCCAATTTATCTTCTCACATGTTAGGTGTGTTAAAAATTAAATACAACTATACAAAGCTTCCTGGTTTCCTGAACACAGTCCCAAGGGCACAATCCCATGGGTAATCAATGTGCAAGCTAAAATGTATCTCTCTACCTTCCACTTTACATGGCTATATTTAGAGAGTCTAGACCTGGGCAAGAACCGGGATTCTGCAACACAAATATAACCAGAAATAACAAATCTATTCAGGTACAATATTTGGGGTTCACTTCTTAAAATGAAAAAAGATCTGTATGGCTGCAAACAGAAACTGTAAATGATATTTCAACATCTTCACAGTGTTTTTCTTTAGTCAAGTTTCCAAAGCAAGTTATAAGAGACTTCTTTTAAGGTTGTTGTATTAATTGCAAACAAGGAGCGTATTATATATCCATGAGTGTTAAAATCTAGAAAAAAGTATTTGCTGTTACACAACCTTCAAGACAAACTGTCTTCATTTAAGTTTCTATGAATATACAAGTATTCTCATAATGTATATCCCATTTAAAATACTATGAATGCTAAAACTGAGCCATGTTAGTGGGCAAAGCTTCAAAGAAATTACTTCGTATTTTGATTTCTTGAACTAAGGCAATACAGCATTCTGATTTCAAATTTTAATGACTATTTCTCTACTTCGGTCCTTGTTACTTTCTGAATCAAAGCCTTTCAAAGGTTCAAAATTTAAAAATTATATTAGTAACACTCAAATGGTTCCCTATTTGCAACTACTTAGTAAACATACAAAATGTTACAGTTAGCTCTTTCTGAAGGCCAATTCAGATACAAAAGGGAAGGTAATAAACAAGAGAAAATGTGCGTAATGTCACGGAGGTGGCAGAACATACCTATTCTAGGCAACAGCATCTTTTAACGGACTCAAATGTATTTTTTCTTTCTCTTTTTTAAGTAGGAGGCAAAGGAAGTGAGGGTCACTGAATAATCTGGTTTGACAAGACTCTGAGGAGAAAAAAAATCCAGTCTGTTCTACCGTGAGACTAGAGCTTTGTAAGGTTTCTGACTTGTGGAGACTTGTTCAGAAGGCAACGTTATTTATGTTTTGGAGACTTCCATTTAAATGACCGAGACAGCTGTTTCCTCTAGCCTCAGCAGTTTCTGCTCAGGGACTCGCGGTGGAAAACGTCTCCCCACCCATCCATCACAGGCCGTCCCTTCACCTGAGCGGACGCAAGCCAGCAGGAGATGCCCCTGCCGGGCAGTCGCTTCAGGGGGCTCCCTCCTAGAGGGGCATTCTCCGAAGCTGTCAGGGTGAGACGGTGGGGAGCAGCACGGCCACCAGGCAGTTGCCGGCAAATGGACCAGGTACCAACCTACCAACCGCCTGCCCGGCCCCTCCCCGGAGGCATCCGCCCGCCCGCCGGACCCTCGCCAGGGTACCTCTTCCTGGCCGTGGCCCCCGCCACACTGCTTGCAGCCAAGCAGCTCCGAGACGGCTAGTGAGGCTGTGTAAGCCTCGTCTGCGGCGGTGGCCAAGCGCATGTCCGACGCGGAAAGGGCAGCGGTCGCGGAGAGTAGCAGCGCCGTTCGGAGGAGGATAACGCTGAGCAGCCTGCCGGGTTTTGGGGTTTTGGGCTTTAGCGCCTCAGTCAGCGCGAACAGCGGGGACTGAGCAGCTCGGAGGGGGCGGGGCGAACAAACAAGCCGCACAGCCGAGCCTTACGGTCACTCGGTTGGGTCCGAGGCCACTCACACCAATCAGAAACCGCGGCGCCCGGAGCCCCGCCCCCTTGGCGCGGAGGGGCGGGCATTGGAGAGCGGTTCTGACGCGGACACAGCGAAAACAACCTCTAGAGGCCCAGCTCCCTAAAACAGCTGATTCTCAGGTCCAGAACAGGCTCTGTCGGTTGGGAGGTGAGCTAGCTCTGCAGCGCCGGCGGGCCCTCGGGGCTCCATAGAAAGGCGATTGTGTCCCTGCCCCCTTCCCCCACCCCCAGAATACCAGCAGCAGATGGCCTGCCTTCTCTCCACCGGCTGGGGTCCATTCACCTAGACTCTAGGTCCTAGAGCCAGACAGCAACCAACACACTACCAGGAGGAATCAAGTTCGTTTTACATTTTATAAACTATTGAAATTTCCCATCTTCCTTCCTAGTAATGCCCAAACGACGCAGAATGGGCCGCAGGATGCAGGAACATGGCCTGCCTATATTCAATGTAAAGTTATTTTGGGTAAGCTACATAGAAACTATAAATATCACTCTTACAAAAATAAGTTTTGGTAGCAGATTTCTGAATTTTCTTTTTTCAAGTATATTCGAAGGATTTAAAATGTCTAATGTTCCCTCATAAGTGCCTTGGGTTCTAAAGAAAGAATTTCTCTCTGAAATCTGATGAGGAACTTGAGAAAATATAGGTTATAAAGGACCAGAAATAAATGACATTGCTGGATACAGAATGTAGATCTCTCAAATCCTGTGTCAACACTATTTCCTTACATGGCTCCATTAACTTTTTAAAAATCAACTCCTAAATTAGATCTTTTTGCATGTTTGCCCTTGTGTTTTCAAAAGCTTCTGTGCTCACGTTAAAAAAAAAAAGCTGAAACATTCTCTCTGAATGAAACAAGTGGAGTTTAAATCAATAAATTCTGACAGGCACAGAGCCAGGACTTAAAAATGAAAATAAGTTTCGGTCTTAGAATTGAAGTTACAATGTCTCAGATAAGACTAAGTTACTCTTTTGCTCAAACTCATTTTAAAAGTAGCAAGTAAAAATGGTTATTTTTTACTTATGTTTCCAGATAAAAATGTTTGCTCTCATACACTACTTTTATAAGTTGTTAAAACATCCAAAATATTTTCAGTGGTCAAGAAAAGCAATTTTGAGCTAATAAAATGGAAGAAAAGTCTATAGAGGCTTCCAAGCTCTCTCCCTGAGTATACAGCCACAACAACATACATTATCAGATGCCCACTCAGCCACAAATAGACAAGAAGGACAATGACAAAAACAACATGTAAATCATCCTATTTGCAATACAATATACCCTCCAAGATAAACTGATCGTAGATGAATATTGGAAATAAATGGTCTTGTTGTATGGGGTCGTGAGCTATAAAGCCAGTTAGATAATGAAGGAAATATGTGAAAAATGATAGCTGGTTCTAGAAATGCTGGTCTGTGATTTTACTTTCTGGAAGGAATAAAATACTAGGGTTAGTTATCTAGTATGGTGTATTCTTGTTTGTGACATTAAAATTATGTCATTTGCAACATGGAGAATGCTTACCATCCTATTTTTTTAATGAGAGGCATTGGAGAACCATGCATTTAGCTAACCCCAAAATGGTTTAAAATAATTAAATGCAAATGAAAACTGCAAAACTATACATATAAGTAATGTTTGATACTTAGTGCTTAATAAATATTTATTGAAGAACCATACATTGTATAGGGATCTCCAATTAAGATTCTTTTTTAAAAAAAAGTTTCAGCTTATTTTGGAGCTGCCTTAAGTAAAAAGAAAAAAAATAACATTCTAATTCAATGATTTACTGAGGGCTTTCTAGCCATTAAATGACAAGATTCTTTTATAGTGGCTATAAAGACTGACTTAAGTTCTTCAAAGAATGCTAATTTCTGCTCTTTTTGATACAGCACTACTGTGAATTCATCACTCTATTCTCCAACATAGAAAAGTTGCCTCCAAATAAATCTATAGTAACCAAGAATTCCAACAAATGTATCGACCTAAAAATACCACTGTGTCAATTTCACTTCTGGAAAGGTTTTGTTCCAAATCATTCAATAAAAAGTGTGTCTTTTCCAAAGGTTTCACTTTTTGAGTAGTCCAGATGTCCTGCTGGTGCTTCTCCTACCTATCCCCCAAGTGCTAGGCATGTGACAGGCACACAACAAACATCTGCTGAAAAGATGAACATCCTGGGTACAGAACAGTAACTGAAAAGAATTAAGCTTTTAATATTTACCAGAGGTTATCAATACAGGCTGGCAGGTATTTTATAAAATCTGCTATTTACCTGGCTGGCATAGCTCAGTGGATTGAGCTCGGGCTGCGAACCAAAGTGTTGCAGGTTCGATTCCCAGTCAGGGCACATGCCTGAGTTGCAGGCCACGGCCCCCAGCAACTGCACATTGATGTTTCTCTCTCTCTCTTTCTCCCTCCCTTCCCTCTCTAAAACTAAATTTAAAAAATCTTTTAAAAAATCTATTTAAGCATTTCAAAATTTTATTTTTTCTAAGAATTCTGACATGTTATACAAGATGTAATATCCTAAAATACTTCCTTTCCTCCAACAATGTTTTGATAAACATAGCTGTACCAAAGTGAGGTTTCTGCATCTGTCATCAGCAGTAACGGTCTCAACTCTAACCTTCTCAAGTACAAGCTGATATACCCACTGAAAGCAGAATGATGTTATTTTGAGCAGAGAACTATAAACCATTAGAGAGTCCAGATTTGAAGTGGTAGCTCAAGGTAGGCTTCTTGAAGGAAGAAACATCTGAGCTGGGGCTTAGGGAATTGGAAGAGAGGCCTTAGCAAAAATATTATGTGTGGGGGCAGGGGGACAAGGGGTGGGGGGCATGGAGTAAGACAGAGTTCTAAGCAAAAAACAAACAAAAACCCAACAGCATGTGCAAAGGCCCAGAAGTGGGGAAGTGAGAGTGGTCCATTAGGGAAGCAGAATAAAGGAAGTTCATTCCCTCTGGAGCAGAGGGTATTGAGAGTAATGGATGGAGTTTAAGTAAAAGAAATAGTAAGGGGAGACCTTGTTAAAGAGTTAAGGAAAATAAGTTTCATTCTTAAGTGTACTGAGGATCAAATGACATCAGATTTACATTTCAGGAAAGGTTTATAAAAATATATCGGAAAAGGCAAAGCTGGAGGCAGGAAGACGAGTTAAGGGTGTCTCAACACAATTTTGGCAAAGCAAGAGGGTGGTTTAAAGAACAGTGTGAATGAAGCAAAGGATAAGAAAGAATGAAGGTGGATTTTGTTTCTTCAGCAGAAGTTTCTAGAGAAAGGAAATCATGCCTCATTCCCTTGTTTTTGAAATTTAGGAGATAAGTCTCAAATTATCTGCTCTCCTGAACAGGTGGCTTCCTCTATTCATTTGATTTAAAGAAATACGGCCAATTCATAGAAAAAGAATACATATGTTTTAGTAGAAAAAATTCTTACCAATCAGGCCAAAAGTCATAACCATGCCTTCATGAACCACATTTTAAACCTTAAATTGTCCTATTAACCCAAGTAATTACTTTAAAGTACTATAGGTTTGTAGATCTATTTATTAGAGTAGGAATTGTATTTAATAATTGATTAGAAAACACAAATAGCAATGTTTTCAGCCATTAAACCAAAGAGCTTTAAGAGTAGATTAGTTTATGTGGTTTAAGCATTCAAGAAAAATGCCCTATTGTCATTTAAATATTTAATTAGAATGAATACTGGTTTGTAAGATTACTTCTGCTTACTAATTTTGTCAAGATATTTCTCCTCTAGCTGATATCTTCCTGTTTTTGTATATATAGCTTGTCTGCTAAGCACTTTTTTCCTCTCAATACCATGTTTTGAGTACATTGAGATCCTTTTAGCACTGAACTTCAATTTTACATTGTTCTTATTGTCCTCTACTTTTTTCACTTCTTCAATTTAATTTTTAGAATTATATGACTTATAAGGGAGCAAGAATGTTGACAAATCTTTGCTCTCTTTCCTTTAGGATTTCCTCATTTATTTATTTCTTTTTAGGATTCCTTTTATTTATTTTTAATTCAGGTGTAATTGACAAACAGCATTATATTGGGTTAGCCAAAAGTTCAGTTGTTTTTTCCCCGTATGATGGCTCTAATAGAGCTTAATTGTCTTTAACTTCATTTGGAACAATTTTGTTAGATTGTATTGTGACAGCTGTCATATCACCATGCATTTAAAAAACAACGTATCAAAATTGGTGAATTCTTGTGTAGCCATTTTAATATTAAGATAGAAGAAAATATGCAATATTTTTGGCATATTATGCTTTATTATTACAAGAAAGGTACGAATGCAGCTGAAACTCAAAAATAGATTTGTGCAGTGTATGGAGAAGGTGCTGTGACTGATCAAACATGTCAAAAGTGAAGTTTCATGCTGGAGATTTCTCTCTGGATGATGCTCAACAGTCAAGTAGACCAGTTGAAGTTGATTGTGATTAAATCGAGACATTAACTGAGAACAATCAATGTTATACCACGTGGGAGAGAGCTGACATACTGAAAATATCCAAATCAATAAAGTTATTGGTAAAAATGAAAAATGTGCCTAACATGATTCGATGTTTGTATATATTGTAAAATGATCGCCATAATAAATCTGGGTAACATCTGTCATCATAGTTTTTTTTCCTTGTGATGAGAACTTCTAAGATTTACTCTATTAGCACAGGGTTTTTTCTTTTAGAGATGAAGTTTTAAATCTCCACATAGGCTTTCACAAAAAATAGGCCATCCATAACCCATATTGTAAATAAGCAGTATTCTAAACAATGTCAGTGGTTGTAAATTAGAAAATCACTTTCCCCCAAGAATAAGTGTGTTCAGCCATGGTCAGGTTTTCCAAGCTAACAGTAACAAGACTAGTAACTTATGATTTCTTACATATCAAACACTAAGCACACACCCATAATGCAGACAGGTAAATTCATAAAGTATGGGTAACTTGTCTAAGGTTACAAAAGTAGTAAAATGCAGCCTGAGATTATAACCAGATCTGTCTGAATCCAAAGCAGAAGCTGGGCTGCTTCTTTTAAGGCATATTTTCAAAATTTTGATAACTGCATAGCCTCAGTTCTTGACTGTGAGGACAAGCAAAGAGGACAGGAAGAAAAAAAAAACTCAGCTTCCTTGTTTATACTCAGGGTAAGATCTGCTAGGTTAAAAAAAAAAAGATGGAAATCATGGAATGAGTGGTCTTGGTCTTTGAGAGCTTCTCTTCTTTATTTCTCTATCCTCATCACTCTTCTGTGTCTCTTCTGAGGTGTTTGGTGACTTTATGCTACCCAAAGCTTCTTCAATAAGGAACACACCTGAATCTACCCAACCTCTTAAATGCTCCTCTCATTATCCCAATTCCTCTTAGAATAACTGATAGGTGTTAAAAAGAAAACAGGGCTCTTAAACTAACAATGGTTATTGTATGAAGGCTGGTGTCTCATACTAATTTATTTAGTCTGTCTCAATAAATATAAGCTCCATTAAATCAGAATGTTTGTCTTTTGTTCACTGCTATATTTCCATTGCCCTAATGCCAGCACACAGTGCTGAATGAATGAACTCTGCAGAGATGTTTCCATTAAAAGAAGAAAAAAAAAGGCCTAACTCAATTGAAAGTTAAATAATGAATTTCAGGTTCAATATTCAGTTTATAAAAGATGTGGGCCATCTACACAAACATTTTTGAAGGCTTTGGGACCACTATGTAAGCAGGCAGGTTCTCATGGGAATCAGATTGGGTTTAGGTTCAATTCTGCTAAGCAGCTTCTATTTTTCATAGTCTCTTCCCACCTTCTTGGGAACCCAGAGACACTCCCAAGCTTCTTTAATCTTTTCTGTGCCTGCTCTCTGTCACAACACCAAGACAGCAGATATATAGGTCAGACACTGCCCGTATACATACCATTGTTTGGCAAGATTCATAAACATTTTGTAAACTAGATTGGCTTTAAACACCCTCCAGCCTATCTAAGGTGAAATGACAGGAAAGTGTCTGTTGAGATACCAAAATTAAATGGGAGAATTAATTCAGAAATATTGTAATTTTTAGAGGCAAATTACTTTTAGCATCATTATTGAGTTAAATAAGGGGAAATAGGTTTAATTTGGAATAAAATAAGGTACAAAAAAAGGTGAATGTAGTAGGAAATTGAAAGTGCTTTTTCCATATTTTCTGAGGAGCTACTGAAGGTTTTAAAGGAGAAAAAGGAAATGATACAAACTAAAAAAATAAGGCATTTCTCAGACTATGCATATATACTAAATATGTTGTATAATTTTAAAAATAATAATCAAGGGGCTGCATTTCATCTATATCTAAAAACATGTGAAACTATTTTTTAAACTATCAAAGTTCTGCTAGTGGGCACAAGAAAGAACTAGTTTTAATAAAACATATACTTTTAAATATATAAGGAATATATTAGTCTAGCATAATATTAAAAAATTATCTTTTCAAAATAGGTTAAAACCAAACCTAATATCTTCAACTTATCCTGAGTCCACAGACTTGATAGAACTGAACATCAAAGTATGTTTCCTTTATAAAATTGAATTTACCCATGATTAATTTGTTTAGGCAAAATGTATATTAATGAATCCTTTGGCTTAATCATATCTAAATTTTTAATGTTTTATTCATATAAAGATAATTTTGATTCAAATAACAAAATCCCAATGATGGTATCCTAAAATCTTTTAATCAAGTTATTTTGTATTTATAACAGCTATCCTGACCTCCCTACCCATGACCCCCCGCCGTGATTATTACTGCCAAGCAGTGAATAGGCTTCTATAATATGTGCTTTTCTTACAGAGCTCAAAGAACCACCACTAAGTTCCTTTGTGATAATCTTTAGTTATAGGTTCTTTAATCCTTTAAATCACCTTATTTTTCTGCCTCCTTCTTAGATCTTGCTTTACAAGAGGGTATTACGTTGTAGATCCTTATTCTGGTCACAAAGTACAAGGCCATATCTGGAGGCTACTTGCCTGTCATT